GGCGGGCGATCTCTACCACCTGCTGAAATGGAACATCTATCTCCAACTCCCGAGCCATGCTGAACCGGATATCATGTCTGAGCCCCTCAATGAACCTACAGACTTGCTCTCTAACTGTAGCGACCAAAGCAGGTGCATGTATGGATAAATCACTGAATCTAACAACATACTCTGACACTTACATAGTGCCCTGGCGCAGCTGCTCAAACTCCACGCGCCATGCATCCCGAAGGGTATGAGGGACAAATTCTCTCAGGAACATCTCTGAAAACTGAACCCATGAAAGTGAAGCTGCATCGGCCAGGCTACCCAACTCATACACTCACCACCGCTGATATGCTGCTCCCTTAAGTTGGAACGTAGTAAAAGTAACCCCACTCGTCTCCACAATATCCCATAGCACGGAGAATGCGGTGGCACTCCTCTAGAAAACATTGTGCACCCTCTGAAGCCAAACCACTGAAAGTAGGAGGTGATACTTCTTGAACCTCACAAGTCCAAGTTGTTCTTCCTCAGATGATGCTGCCCTACCCACGGGCTGAACTGGGATCACAAGTTGTGTCGCCATGACTTGGAATCTGACCAACATGGACTCGCTGCTCTTGAGTACGGGCGACGGGAGTCTGAGTTCCTCCCCCAGTCTGTGAAGTAGTTGGCGCAACCGAAATCAACCCGGCCTAAGCCAATGTACCAAACATGCTCAGGAACAGTGCTAAAGTCTCCTGAAGTCCGGGGTTAATAGTAGGCGCCTCTGGTACCTGTCCCTCAATCGGAGCTACTTGCGGCTCCTCAACTACTGCTCAAGTAGGTGCCCTAGTTGCGGCACGTAATCCTCTTCAGCCTCTGCCTCTGCCCATAGCGACACCTGCTCCTGGGGCAACATCATCAGTAACTGCAGCTTGTGTCCTCGCCATCTGTGAGAGAATAGAATGATAAAAGCTCAAACTATGAGATCAACCTAGAGCTCTGAAGATAAGTACAGACGTCTTCGTACCGATCCGCAAGACTCTACTAAACTCGCTAATGACTCATAGCACCTATGAACCTAGAGCTCTGACACTAACTTGTCATGACCCAAATTATCCTCCGTAGGATGTCGTAATGGCACATAGTCTTAGGGATTAGATAAGCCCAAAATTACTGAATTAATAGCAATATTTAACCAGCGACTAACAAGTATGAAATAGAAACCTCTATGCAAAACTTACAATCCCAAAACTGGTAGTACAAGTCATAAACTCTACTGAGTTTGCTAGAAAAACCTACAAATACAACTATTTTGAAATAAAGATGAAACAATGCAAGTACAATATAAGAAGGTGACTCCGAAGCCTGCGAACGCAGCAATAGGGTTACCTTGAGTCTCCACAGCAAGATCCGTACAGCTAGTTAGCGATCGACCAACTCCAAAATACCTGGATCTGCACAAAATGTGCAGAAGTGTAGTATGAGTACACCACAATGGTATCCAGTAAGTATCAAGGCTAACCTCGGTGGGTATGATATCTCTGTAAAGCTAGGCATGATAACAACAATAATACGATGCTTGGAAGAGGAACTAAAAGCAACAATTAGCAAATGGACACAGTTTAAATCCGGTGGAACCAAATAAGCGAAAAACAAGTAGCAATTCAATAAGAATAACCGCACTCACACCAAGTTTATCCAATAATCACAACGAGGTACCAAACCTTAAAACTCACAATTCACGGGTCCCAATTCATGGACCCTAATCACTTGGCAGCTTGTGCCCTCATTACAATTGATAACTGCACGAACGACTCACATTCCAATAGAATAATTTTTACATAGAAGACAAGTAGACAGAGTACGCATAGATGGTCAATAACATCATTGTTCATCTTCTCAAACAGATCGGGTGATAATTTACGTGTATGCTTGTGCAAGTGTTCTATCACAGTTCGGGCTAACGAATAAGAGTAGAGAAAATAAATGGCACATAAGAAACGATCCCCACAATTTGCACATGGTAAAACTCACACAAGTTAGGCATGCCACTACACAAATATCAACATCAACAATTCCCTTAGGCCATCACAAGTAATCACAAATCATTCCCCGACATAGCCCACCTTATCTCTCCACGTGCGCAATAATAAAGAAAATGCATGCCTTGTCTCGCTGCACGTGCATAGTAATGTTCCTATCTTGTCTCGCCACATGCACAAACACACAGATATAGCCCGTCTTGTCACACCGCATGTGCAAAAATATTAGTAACAATAGCACGGCAGAAACCTCGTGCAGACACCCGAACAAATCCTCCCAACAATATCACGTGCCAAAAACATGACAACACCATAAAAGGACCTTCACAACACGTGCCTATATTCCACAACCTTTCCTCAAAACAGTTTCAATACCACAACCGCGCAGACCTCGGCTCACAACACTGAATACAACAATAACAACAACAACAACAATGACACTAGAATACGGCAAGTAAATCAACTCAAGAACTATGGAACATAAAGAAACGGTAAAACAAGCTCACAAAGAAAGACACAACAGAAAATACTAGTTTCAACAAGAATAGCTCAACAAGGGAGAAATAATATGTAACAATGATTCCACAAAAGTACAATTCGACAACAAGGGAGGTAACCTGAGTCAATAATTCCAATTAAGGATGAGTCAACTATGATAATGGATAACTAAACTTCATTTAGGGTTGAGCAATTACGAAAGAGATACAACATATTCAATTAAGTATAAGCAACTTACGGAAAGGATAATAATAACTTCAGTTAATGATAAGCAATTAGGGAAGGATAGCATGGCAATAGAAGAAGCAACAACTTCACTTAAGGCACATAAGAGTCAAATAGGCAATAAGAGTGGAACATGAAGTAATTAATTCCAATTAAGATATGTAGAGGTGAAACTAGTAAATAGGGGGTTTAACATAATAAAGCAACTTTATATCTAATGAATATAAGAACCTAAGAGCCCTAAACGGTCAAATTTCCACAAATAAGACTGAGTACTTACTCGTCACCTCGCGTACATGGGTTTCACATGACACAATTAGCACCAAAGACTCAAATCCTAAGGGGTAGTTCCCCCCCTCTCCCCACAAAGTTGGGCAAGATACTTACATCAAAGAAGCTAAACCGTTACTCTAAAATGAATTTCTCGAGTGAAACAACCTCCGGACAGCTGAAATATAGCCAAAATAACTTCAAATCATAAATAAAACTCATAAGAAACAATTCAGAATAATAAAGCCTCAATCTTTAACAAAAACTAAAAAGTCAACCCTCGGGGCCGCACTCCGAACCCGATAAAATTTATAAAACCCGAACACCCATTCCGATACGAGTTCAGCAATACCAAAATTATCATATTCTGATACCAATTCGTCCCTCAAATCATCATTTTATATTTTGAAAGATTTCTTAAAAAATTCTGACTTTTCTCAACTCAAAACACTAATTTAATGATAAAAATAAAGTTATAATCATGAAATGCAATGAATTCCGGGTGAAGAACCGATATATTTGAAAAACCCAAGAAGAATCGCTCAAAACTGAGCTCTACAAGTCAAGATTTGATAAAAGTGGTCAAACCCCCGATTTTAAAAAATATATTCTGCTGCTTAGGTGTAACACATCGCGATCGTGGAACAAGTAATGCGATCGCATACAAGAAATTACACTGCCCAGAAAAAGCACTACACGATCGCGTGAATAGGAATGCGATTGCGTAGAAGGGTACATTGTCCTACTAGAAGCCCCTACGCGTACACGGACAGAGTGATGCGAACGCGGAGAAAGGTGATGCACACGTACGCGATCACGGGCGGTAGCATGCGAATGTGAAGAACAAATATTTCTTGCCTCCAAAATTACACTACGCGAATGCGGAGGAGTTGGCGCAAACGCACTAAAGAAAACTAGATACCAACAAAATAGTAGTCCAACAACATGGAGAAATGGCCAGTAGCCCATCCGAAACATACCCGAGGCCTCCAGGACCCCGTTGAAACATGCCAACAAGTTCCATAACATACCACAAACTCGCTCAAGGTCTCAAATCACATCAAACAACGTTGAAACTACGTATCGCGCCAAGAGTCAAACTTTTGAACTTTCAAATCTTCCAACTTCCAAAACTCGTGGCGAAACATACCAAATCAATCCGGAATGACGTCAAATTTTGCATGCAAGTTCCAAATGACATAACAGAGCTAAACTAACTCTCGGAATCGCATTCCGAACCCGATATCACCAAAGTCAACTCTCGGTCAAACCCCTCAACCTTCCAAAACTTTAACTTTCCAATTTTTCGCCGAAATGCTTCAAATTACCCTGCGGACCTCCAAATCCAAATTCGAATGCATGCCTAAGTCCAAAATCACCATACAAAGCTATTGGAACCGTCAAAACCTCATTCCGGAGTTGTTTACACAAAAGTCAAATTTCAGTCATTTCTTACCGATTAAGCTTCTAAAACAAGAATTCTTCTTCCAAATTGCCCCGACTCATCTGAAAACTGAACTCGGTAATACGAAACTGCTCGAGACTTTATGCCGCCGAACGGGACTTTAATTCTCAAAAGGACCGGTCGGATCATTACCGTAAGTCTCCTTAACCAGTTTTTACAGTCAAATACTTCAGTTTCTAAATATTGAACTTCAATTTTTGAAACGCTTGGAAAATATTGTAAAATTTGTTAAAGAGCATTTCAAGTGAAATTATGGCTTTGGTCATAAATATTTATTCTTTTTCTAAGAGAAGTTCATGTCGGACATAACTAAATCATACTTCTCGTATATTTTCTCCACTTCAACTTTACATACTTTTTCTCTACTTCAATCAAATATTGTCCAAACGACTACTGTTTTTGCAATTATTGAACTTCAGTAAATGAAACGCTGATGAAATATTGTACTCATGGAAGAGTATTTCTAAGTAAAAGTTATTTTCATTGACAAGTATAAACTCTCTTTTTTCAAGTGAAATTCAGGTACAAACACAAACATCCAAATACACTCTTTCGACATCAATTTCAAATACTCTTTTTTACAACTACATCAACTAGATACTGTACAAACGCCTACTAAAGATTCCATCATCAAACTATATCACTTCCCACGCCTCTAAAATACTCACAAAAGAAACAGGACTTTGAGGAAAAGAAAAAACTAATAATTAAGGGTATATGTATTACAATCAGCTAGTTGCTTTACCAACTTATTGATCACTACTAGTTAAGTCAATGGCTTATAAACTAGACAATATATTTTCTGAAGTTAGTAGGTCAAATTTTCATTGAACAATAAGTGGTTGAGTTGCGAGGGCAGCACATTGGAGATGTCGTGGGCAGGTAATAAGGTGGTCATTAGTAAGACCAGCTGCCTGCATAAAGGAATATATAACAGAGGGGCCAACATATCTGAACCCTCTTTTCACCATATCTTTGCTCATTGTTTCTGATTTTGAGGTCTTTATTGGGATTTTGTTACATGCCTTGTATTGTGTCGCGATGGGCTTGTTGTTCACGAATCCCCACAGATACTTGTCGAACGATCCAAATTGTTTCTTGATCTGTAAATCGAATCAAGAATCAGAGGATTATAATGATGATATTTAGGCCTAAACTTTGCCTGAATGCTTCACAGTAGAACTTCAACCACTCTAATATATATGTTTTTCCCTATTTAAAATAAGAATCACTAGCATGTAACATTATAATAGTCTACTTATCCTAAAGCCTCAAAACATTTTTGTATTTTTTTCTCTTTGTTGTAGGCGTTCGGCCCTTTCACGTGCATATGCCTGAATAATCTTTTTTTATTGGCCAAATACGTACTATTCATTTTATAATAGATGATGGAGGACATCTGCCTGCTCTAGACCATGTTGAAGTGTGATGAATAGAACGAATCCCACATCGGACATGGTATCGGAGCTAGGCATGTGGTCGATGTGAGCCTCTAGAAGAGGAGTGCAGAATGCCCCTGGACCAATTGAAGGGAGGGTGGAAATACCTCATCCGTGAATGTGCACGCTCCAGACCGGACAGTGGAATCCCAGGTGTCCGGATCTGGGCGTGAGAGGGGGGGGGGGGGGGTTTAATGAATGGACCTTGGTCTCCTTATAAGGCTCGGGAAATCTTCCTTCTTTGAGCTAGCTTTTGGGGGTGTGAGTTAGGCTCAAGGCTTAATTTAACAAAGTGTGTGACTAAATATCTTCAACAACCTCTACTGGAGCAGAGCTTCCTACCTAGAAGTTCTATATTACTGCAGATTTTAATTTTATGAAAGTGTTGGTTACTAAATATCTAACACTTTTGGCTGAGTCAAGGCCAGATGTGTTATTCTGATTCCAATGTGGTCCATGTGGTTATGTTTATTGAGTGGTGTTTAGCTACATGCATGATTGACTACAGGCAGTTTATTTAATTTGAGAGCAGTTTATTTAATTTGAGACTCTCCCATCTACCCTTAATTACTACTACGGTACCATAATATCAAATAGTAGCATGTTAAAGAAATGTTTGGAAACAAAGGAGAAGAAGACAAAATTAAAATGGAAAAGACAGTTCAAAGAGTTATTTTGTGGTAATTTGTAATGCTAATAATGTATTATTACCTCTAGAATTCTTTTAGAGTTGTCGACAACCCCTCGGACTTGGCTTAGCTCTATGCCATAATCAGCACTTGTTGAATTTATCTTCTTTTCGTTGTATTTTGCAACAATTTCTGGATCAAATCCTGAAAAGGCATCCCTGGAGGAAAGAACAAGCCAAATTCAGCTAAGACAATCTGAACTAAGTTTGGATTAACACGTGATTCAATTAATTTAACGTGCCAAAAATAGTTTTGTGACTATACTGTTATAATGGATAAAGTTCAGTTACATTAATGGAACGACAAATAATTTTGTGACAATAGGTAAAGCAAAAACCCACCTGAAATCTTGCCTTTTCTTTAGCACTGAAGTCCAGTCTGATCCAACTTGAGCAACAGTTAATACCAACAATTCAAATAGCAGACTGCATACATACAATAAGAAAATTAATCTCAAATTTCTGCTGATAAATATGTAAAATTTACAGAAAAAGGGGAAAAGGCTCTTACTTATCATCAAAGACAGGAACTCCCCATTCCTCATCATGGTATGCAATATAGACAGGGTCTGGAAATAGAACAAACAGAAAATTTAGTTTCGCTTATCCACATTGAGGTGTTTATATTTCAATTATTTCGAGTTTAAATTAAAGGAAAAAGTTCAAATTTGCTCATTTACAAGCTAAATATTTTAATTTTACCTTTCCATTTTACTTTCTGGTCATTTGTACCTCTGCTATTAACAAATCGTCCTGTACTTACTATTGATTTTAAAGGAGCTTCATCGTGGAATGAGTAAATTGTCTGAATACTTGAAAAAAAAAAAGGTCCAAATCTATCCCATTACTTTTGACTATAGTTTGAAATTGCCATTCGTTATACTTCGATTAATGTTCATGCTAGAGCTTTGCTTCGGATCAAAGATAAATATAAGACAATTTGCTAATAGTCTTAAAGGGTCATTTGGATTGAAGAGAAGTTATGTTGGGATTAATTATCCTGATATTATTTCTTATTGACTGTTTGGTATATTGTATTAATTCTCAATTTTATTGTTTTATCCTGGGATTACTATTCCACTCCCTGACAAGGGATAAGTTATTCCAGTACTATTTTTAATCATAGGATAATTTATCAGGATTAGTAACCAAAGAAGGGATAAGGCGACACCAAATTTTTATCTCAGGATTATTTTTGCTTATCCATAGTACAAAACGACCCCACTGTACAAATGACTTCATAGTATAACATATGGTGAAATTCAAATATTTAGTATAATAGAGGAGTATTCTTGATCATTTTTCCAACTAAAAGATAAAAGTGAAGTTCTCATTACCAGAATTAGGTGTGATAAAGCTGCATCTTTTGCCCTCTCGAGGACTTGAACTATTGGAAGAGTCAAGAGGACTGACTCTATTTTCATATTTAGCAGAATTTGTTCTACCATAATGTGCAGTTTTCATCTTTCTTTGCACTTGCATCATTGCTACTTGCTCCCTTCTTGCTGCTGCTATGCTTCCCGGAACCTCAAGAATCTTAAAGGAAGAAGAATTCTTCACATATTTAGTGGATTTAGCATTGCTTTTTGGTGTCACAATTTTCTCAGTATTTATATTCAAGATGTTAGAATCACCCACTCTCTTGATTTTAGGTGAAATAGGAGGAGTTGTTGCTGAAATTTTGACTTTGACAATACTATTGTTATTTTTTATCTTGACATAAGTATGAGTTGTTGCAGTAGGAGAAGTTTTGGAAGGTGAGTTTTTAAGGAAATTGTGGCGTTCCAAGAGAGGATCTCTATTGCTATATGGTTGAAAAACAGGGCGTCCATTGATATGAGAGATTGTTTGAGGTGAAATATCAACAATCCCTCTTTGTTGTTTAGATTTGGAAGAACACATTTTGATAAGGGGTTTGGCTAGTTTTGTTTTCTTGGTACAAGAATGTGTTAAAAGAGAAGAATGAATTAGGCTGCGACACTTTGTTTTGTTAAATTAAGGAAAAATGAGGGGGATTTTATAAAGAAGAGGAAGGGGTTGGGAGCCTTTGTTTGGGGTGGGGGTGGGGGTGAGGAACATGTATGAGGGAAGTTGTTAACTTGGAACATGGGGGCTTTCTTTTCTTTAACATAACCACGAGGATGATAGTGACACCAACCTTCCTCGAATCTGCATCTGCATTTTCAAGGCTTGTGATAATTAATATTAACAGTGTAAATTATTTTTATATTATTACTATGATTTAATCAATTATAGTAAATCATTACTCTATTTTTTAATTTACTGTATCTTAATTGTAGGTCAATCTAAACAGATAGTGTAAAAGTTCTTTATGCTATCACTTCGAGCATAAACTCTAAATATACTATTCTCCTTGCTTCATTTTATATGACACATGTTCCTTACTAGTTTATTCTAAAACAAATATCATTTGACCCGTAGATGGTAATACTGTCACCTCTTGGGATGTGATTTTTTCTTATTCACTTATGCTTGTGGCGAAGAGGTCGACGCTTACATTCTGGCTCTAGGGGTGGATCTTTCCTTTCTCTATTATGACCTACTCGTTTAGGTTGTCATCTAGGTCAGGGGTTTTGGAATAGCTGCCAAATTATGGTCTCGTGTTTTGCAGCTGAATTAATTGCCCATGTGTTGGACCCGAACTGTGGTGGTGCTCTTCTATAGTTTTTTCTACATACTCTTCCACCTCTGGAATAGAAAACAGAAGATTTTCCAAGCCCATATAAGATCAAAATAACTAATCGCTTTCGACAACAATATAGTTATCTACTAGCTATGTTTTCTTCATTCAACATTCGAAAACTTTTTAATATTAAATTTTCTACATTATCCTTAATGAAATTCTCTTCCAGCGGTAGAAATATGTGGTACGTTTAAGATTATAATTCTAGGGATACTTTAGGTACGTCCAAAAAAGTGTTTATTTTTTTTTTCTTAAATTTTGTACCCAATCAAAAACCGTGATGTAAAAATAAAATTGGGGAATGAAAATGGTGGCAGTGCCAGCAGTTCAGGGACCTATTTTTCCCTACACTGCCTTTACTGCTTCAAATGCTAGCCAGCTCGTCTCTTTGGGTTCCAAAATCCAAGCTGGAGTGAGGTTTAGTATTTGGGGCCAGAAATTGACCAATCATTTCTCTTTCCTTTAGAGCTGGCTTCAATTTCCCTTTATTTCCTTTTCTTCTTTATTCCATCTAATTACCTTTTCTACAAACTATGGAAAAATGCTTAGCTATAATTTCTGAGATTAGTTGTAATTCAGTTATTGGAAGTAACCAAGTAAGTGCCTGTCAACAAAAAAGCTGATCCCATACCTTTTAGTAATTTTTTTGTGCCTTACTTTTATCAAATTTCATATTCTAATTCAAGATTCAGCACTGGAACAACTATTTCAGGTGCCCAAAGGCTAAATATTATGGGTTCTAACTTTTGTGTTTTCACCATTGAGTTTATTACATTTTTCGTAATTATAAGTTCGGAACTTGATATCTATTAAAATATTAGTAATTTCTTATGTATATAGATATCTATTCATTATATTTAATACCGTATTCAATTGAAACTGTGAGTCTATTAGCCTATTTAAACGTGCTTCTTTGAAGGGTGGACTGTGGAACAATAAGATGATAATTCACTGGTAATTTGATACTGAGCTATTAGGATTTTCTCAACTTTTGCACTTTTTAGGATAAGAATCCAATTCCCCTCGTCTAAATAAAGGCATGCATTTATTTTGTTCCTATCACTATATTCACTAGCCATGGCATTAAAGACAGTACCGTTGTTGATATGTAACAATTATTGAGCCTCATCGGAATCTAATATGACCATGCAATTTTGTGGATAAAAAGTTAGAACAATTGGCATATGAAGTACTAGGAATTTGTAAAGAATAAGACAATATCAGAAAATTTAGAAGGATTTTTTGTGTGCAGTATCGGCCCATATATAACTAGAGCTTACTGTACCGGATTGTCTTTTTACTATAGATTATTATCACAACTCAACTTGGTATGGAAGTTTGAGTATGGTGCTACGGCGGTTCTTGCTAGGGCTATTCAAAATCGAACCGAAACTGTTAACCGAATCGAACCGATGACTTATTGGCTTATTGATATCGGATTATCGGGGTAATGGACGGTGAACGGATTGCGATTTTATAATTAACGGCTTAACGGTTTGGGGACAGATTACTCAATTTTCTTATTGGATAAACCGTTACCCCGTCAAGAATTTTTATATTTACACTTTCCTATAGATCTTGAAGTAGCAAGAACTCCTAAGATTCGATATTCATTCCAATTTATAACTTTCCCACCCGAATTTTCAATTATATCCGGCTCATCAGGTTTGTTAGGATGCGTGCAGAAAGTCCGTCAACAAAATCACCCATAAAAAAGAATTCATTTCAATATTATACCAAAAACAAATTATTTGGTTTAGCCGATAAACTAACCGATAATCGTTAATCCGATGCCAATTCGCCCGTTGTCTTATTGGATGGCTAACGGATTATCTTATTTATAATCCGATAACTGATAAACCGAACCGTTAAACGTAATTATTCGCCCGATAAGCACCCCTAGTTCTTGCTATGACTTTACTTCTTGCCCCAAATTGATGTTACTTCGTATTCTGGTGGTCGGCGTGAGGTGTTTCGTATTTAGACTGACTTTTCGGAATTCCTCATTCATGAGATCAGACTCATTGATTTTTTATTAGATGAGCGGTTGCATTATGATTGTTCCGGAGACATAGGGCCTAGTGCTTGGGGGTGTACAAACCGAACCGAAAAGTCAAACCAAATCAATTAAAAAATTTGATTTGGTTTGGTTTGATTTGGTTTGATATTGAGTAAAAAAACCCGAACCAATCCGACATATAAATATATAATTTTTATATATACTTTTAAGATTTTATATAGAATTTTCTTTAAAAAATATCTAGAAGTATTTGGGATTCTCTTGCGGAATATAAATTTTAATAGAATATGAAGTGCTCCATATTTCATTGACCTTAAATAATGGGTTGTATGATCACTTTCATATCAAGTGTTACTGAAATGCGTTCATCTCTTTGTTCTTCCATATTCATATCATATGTTAAGATCTATTAAATTCTTATATCTTTTTCGAATGTGAAATGATTATTGATTTTTATGTTTAATTACTAAATTCGGTTAACCTGAAAGTGTATATCAACGAAATATTATTGTGAGACGACTAAAAAAATAACTATTACTACTATGTGTTACTAATAGCATTCTCCCATAAGAATATTTTAATCGATAATATGTTTGTCAATTTTTTATATTTTTACTAAATATATATTTACTTATCAAATATTTAACAAAGTAAGATTGAAATGATATGTAAGTAACAAAAACCCGAAAACTCGAAAAATCCGACAAAATCGAACTAATCCAAACCGATATAGTTGGTTTGGTTTGGTTTTGATAAAAACCGAACTAATTCGGTCCATGTACACCCCTACAGTAGTGCTTCAAAGTCTTTCAAGCTCCTCATTGGAAGATTTATTCAGGCTCTAGGACCTGTCTGAATTGGAAAAGAAAAGGAGGAAATATTGTGAAGCCTAGAAAGGCGGAAACGAAAAATCGCTTGAAATATGGTCTTTTATATATTTGGATTATTAAAGAAAATTATCAATGATTCAGCTGCAAGAACAATCTATTCTTTGGTGTCTTGTTCCAATCACTGGGTTTCATTTCTCCAAGACTATAATCTAAAACCTTATGTTGCAAGCAATATATGTGACAAGTGTGAAATCTTGGATTTCAAGCATTTTTCAGTTAAGTGACTAAACAAATTGAACAGAAAGAACTTCTCAAGCAAACAACTTCAGAGAATAAAAAAACAAAAAGAGACCATCCATATCTTGGAATGTAAATCTCAAAATATTACACGTTGCTTAGTTTAAGATTAACTCCATAAAAATTACAATAACTACAATAAGAACATAATATGTGTAATTTCACAAGTAGGGTCTGAAAAAGATAGTATGTATGTAGACCTTATCTCTACCTTGTGCAGATAGAGAAGCTGTTTCTGATAAACCATCGGCTCAAGGTAAAACAGAACTCCATAAAAAATTATTTGAAATAATTAGCTTTACAAAGCAAGGTGATTAGAATTGTAACCTTTTGTTTTCGCAACTTAGTGAATATTAATCACCTAATTAATGAGTACTAATTTTAATGGATGGTAATCACATTTAAGTCACTTTGTACTTCAAAGGAAAAGAGAAACAACCCATGTGCAAGTCCAACATCTTGCGTCAAATGATGAGACGCAATTCTGGGCAAAAACAAAGGCATAACACATTATTGAGTCGTTGACATCTATCCTATCATGAATTCATCTAAAGAGATTATTATCGGATAATTACTAATTATTTTGTATACCTTCCTAGTAAATTCTTGAGTGTCCTTGTATTTAAAATAAAAAAATTAAAAAAAGGACTCAAGGAAATTTCATGCTTAGAAAGTTAGAGTCAATGAGATGAGACCTAATTCAGATGTTTAAATTGAAGTTCTTTTAGCTAAGAAATTACGTGAAATGGGTCTATACTCGTTATTATATTATTTCCTTTGTTCCAATTTACGTAACACTCTTTATTTTTTAGTTAATTAAAAAAAATATAATTCTATATATAATAATAATAATTTAACTTTAAACTTTCTATTTTACTCTTAATGAGATGATTTATAGGCTACAGCCATACAAATTCAAGTTTCAAAACTTTTCATTTCTATAACGGCAAAGGGCCAAATATACCCCTCTACTTTTGAAAATGGTCTAAGAATACCCTTCGTTATACTATTGGGTTATCTATACCCCTGCAGTCATACTTTGGGTTGAATATACCCCTCATTTAAATGGAGGGGCACATGTCATCGTCCTGTTGGTCAATTCTAAATATCTCCTAATTAATTAAAAAGACTCATTATCC